GGGGTCGTCCTTGACACGTCGAGGAACTTTTACCCGAAGAAGGACGTGTTGAGGACGATCGACGCGATGGCGATGAACAAGCTGAACGTTTTCCATTGGCACGTGACGGACTCGCACTCGTTCCCGATCGTGCTCCCGTCGGAGCCGGAGCTCGGGGAGATGGGGGCGTATGGGGAGGGGATGAGGTATGAGGCGAAGGATGTGAAGGAGATCGTCGAGTACGGGTTGAGTCGGGGGGTCAGAGTTATGCCCGAGATTGATGCCCCCGGTGAGTCCCTGTGATTTCTTTCTTCTTTTTTTTTCTTTCTATTTTGGAGTAGAGTATAGGGCGAACATAGTGTTGTTGAGGTAACACACAATATTTAGATCACTCGTGATCTTAATACGTTAATAATCTGAATATGATGATGATCTTAAGTGTGCAAGCATGAACGCTTGTTGTGTCATCTAGGCTCGACCTAAGAATATGGAGGCGCGCGCGGGTAACGTTTACCCTCCAATTTTTATTCAATGTGTGTTGATCGGAGGAGTTCTGATTCTAACGTAAATTTAATTTGGAGAGCTCTTTCAGAAGTACTTGTATAATTAGAAAATCCTTTTTTAAAGCTGTTAGATATTTTTTAATTGGGTCCCACCCACAATTGTTTTTTCCTCACACATGGGCGGCTATGGAAAGTCACTTTCAATGAACAGTAAAAACATGAGGGATTTAAATTTCTTCCGGCGGTGCCAAACTCAGAGAAATTTTTGGACGTGGGTCCCACATGCATAGTAAAATATATTATTTTATTTGTGTATAGTGTTTTTCCAAACGCTATAAATTGACCTCAAATCCTTAAGGAAAATTCATTCAAAAAACAACAATCAATATATACAGATATATATTGTAGAATAGGTAGTGCTAATAGGAACAGTGTCTAGACCGAGAAGGTCTTATAGATCGAGGAGATCTTTGCCTGAGGAGATCGAGGAGATCTTTGCCTGATAGATCGAGGAGATCTTTGCCTGAGGAGATCGAGGAGATCTTTGCCTGATAGATCGAGGAGATCTTTGCCTTATAGATCGAGGAGATCTTGACAGGCCTGATAGATCGAGGAGATCTTTGCCTTATAGATCGAGGAGATCTTGACAGTACTGGGTTGGTGCACACAAGAGTATTGGACTGCTGTTCCTGGAAGCAATTTGGCCTTGGGATCCTTGCACCGGAGTAGGCTAAATAATGCTTTAAGCACAGCGTTTTACAAACGCACAGCAGCTGAGTTGAAAAATTTAAATTATTGCCCTTCATTTTTTTGTTCAGATTTTTGCTGTTATATATCTGTATTATTCCAGTTTTAACCACAGGCGTCAACAAAAGCTTATCCCATAATAAAACATAACGTTAATGGGGTTAATTCCATATATATACTCTATACGCATAATCGATAATAACTCTCAAACGTTTGCAGGAGTTGTGCAAACATTACCAATGATTCATAGTAGTTTCATACGGTTTAGCTTATTATGTAACCGTTGTTTAAAACTGATTGATTCAGGACACACTGGATCATGGGCCGCAGCCCATCCAGATATCGTCACATGCGCCAACAAATTCTGGCTCCCAGGCGATTGGGCTGACCGCCTAGCCTCAGAGCCCGGTACGGGCCAACTAAACCCACTAGAGCCTAAGACCTACAGAATCTTCAAAAACATCATAACGGACATAGCCGCCCTCTTCCCCGAAAACTTCTACCACTCTGGCGCCGATGAAATTGTACCGGGCTGCTGGAAGGCCGACCCAACGATCCAGGCCTTTTTGGCCCAAGAAGGAAATACACTCAGCAAACTTCTTGAAATATTCATCAATGAAACTTATCCTCTCATTATGTCTTTGAATAAGACTGCAGTTTATTGGGAGGATGTTTTACTGGATCCTATAATTAAAGTGAATCCGTCAATTTTGCCGGCCCAATCCACTATTCTTCAGACCTGGAATAATGGGCCTAATAACACGAAGCGGATTGTGCAGGCTGGGTATCGGGCTATTGTCTCGTCTTCGGACTTTTATTATTTGGATTGTGGGCATGGTGACTTTGTTGGTAATGACAGTAGGTAAGATGCATTTGGTTTTTCTTCTCATTTATTTATTTTTTATTGAGGACAAGGGCTTATCCTAATTGTATTATAGGATCCTCAAGTTATTTTCTAATTTACATTTTCTAATGTGACTGCTAGGGGTGTGCCTCATCGCTAATCTAGTTATTTATAGCTCATATAGTAAAATGAGTTGTCACGTACCGTTTCGTACCTTTTTTTTCTCCTCTTACTAAAACTTTTTTTAAAAGGGAAACACTAGAGGCACATCCTTAAACCACACTCCCAATCACATCCCTCTCCTAGCTACAGTATTTTTAGGTTTTTTAAATAAAGTATGTGGGCCCCAAAAACACTGTAGCTAGGAGAGGAATGTGGTTGGGAGTGTGGTTTAAAGGTGTGCCTCTAGTGTTTCCCTAGAAAAGAGATCTTGAAACAATAGATGCATTTATAAAATCATGCAGTCCAATTCATACTGCTGTAGTATTGGTCAACAACTCCTCTATTTTGAAGCTATATTTTGTTTTAACAACAATTTTCCGAAGACGCAACAATATCCGAATGAATGAAGAAGAGTACATTGGGATATGAATGTATTTTTCAAAACAACATAAGATTCCAACTACTGTTATCCAAACACATTCAATGAAGTAAGTGAACATAACACATGATTCATATGAGTACAAGAATTCAACAAGTAAAACTAAGCAATGGAGAAAACAATAAATATTATTAACATTAATCTAATCTTATTTGTTGTAGTTATGACACAATCACAAGTGACCTAGACTCCAACGGTGGATCATGGTGCGGTCCGTTCAAGACATGGCAACGGATATACGACTACGACATAACATACGGTCTAACCGACGACGAGGCAAAGCTTGTGATCGGAGGAGAGGTGGCGCTGTGGTCGGAGCAGGCGGACGCGACGGT